TTATTTTTCATGAGAATGAAATTAAAATTCAATCATAATTAATTCAAAGATATATGCTATGGAAATTGTGTAAATTTTAATCTACCAAGAGAGTAGAATTCACCGACCCTTGAGAACACCAATAATATGCGGGCTCAATGCACATTAATGAAAAAGATCTTTGCTTCTGCTGTTGCTTTGATAAATACACACTTCAATTATAGAATATATGACTATGATTAACTCATTGCTGACTTGCAGGATGCTGCTTACTTTCTTACTTTCTGTCATAAATTATTACGTTTAGACATATTATATTTTCAATTATTTTCAAAAACAATTTTTTTTGGTTATGTAAAGTGTAGTAAACATAACAACATAACCGTATACACTATAGATATCCGAGCTCAGTTTGTCGAGAGAGACAGCGTTACGCCAAACCAGTAGAAGGAGAATGGGACAGTCGCTTGCGCGTGGCAACACGTCGCCATGGGATGCGTCGCCAGACCAGCAATCGGTTTTACATGCGACTATGGATGTTTCACATCATATTATCACAAGTTCACGTCGAGCACTTCCAGAAGGCTGGTCCACTGGGTTGGAATCGCTATCTGATTAAAGAAAGAGACTGCTAATTGTTCACTTCGAAAGTGTTGATGGTTTTGTTGAGCCCGATTTATTGATGATTGGTTCAAAGCATTCTGTCGATTACCATAAAGATATGAAAGGCGATGTGTTTGGAAAATATTTTCAGCAAATATGTAATATAATGAGTGCGCTAATGGCGTGCGCTACCTATATTGTTGTAGATAATGTACCGTAAGATTTTTTATCTTAAAAAGTTCTAAATAAAAGTCCGCGATAGCACATATCCATCTCTTATGTGGTAGCCACTATATGCAAAATACTGAGTAAAAAATACGATTGAATTGGATACTGTTTTTACAATGCACATTTTGAAATATCTGTCAAATTACGATTTTCGTTTCTAATATCCAATTGAGATAAACTTTGTATTTTACACTAAGTAATTTGGATGAATCGTTCAAAAGTTATCACGATAATTTTAACTTGACGCAACGCAGTGAGCCATTACGCGTGGCGTATACTAAAAGACGACGGAGGACGATGCGCGGAGGTAGAGAGGCCGTCTAAGCAAAGTGTATTCTGCTCGAAAGGGTTGAAAAACGAAACAATTCCTTCAATATTTTTTTCTTACAGAATGGCATGAAGGTCGCTGTGTACTATGAAGCCTTGTGTGGTGACAGCGTCGATTTCATTACTCATCAGTTGTATCCGCATTTTAGTGAATTGTCCGACTACATAGATCTGGAATTGATACCCTACGGAAAGGCAGTGGTAAGTTTTATATTATTTCAGTTAATCCCCACTGAAGCTGATTTCATACACTCTGCTCGTAACATCCGCATTTCCATGTTTCCTTGAGAAGAAACACAACAGGCATCTATCATAATGGGGCACAACAGGAAATAACAAATCACAATGAACCTTTTTCTGAAGTACGAAAAATCTCTCACTAGCAGTGCTAGTAGTTCGGTAGGGACAAACACTGCCTAATCCTCATATAAACATATGGTAAAGTACAATTAAAAAAGAATGTTTTTAACAAAAGAAAATGTTCCTGGAGCAAAACTGAAATTTACAACTTTGAAGGATAACAATGTTGTAACATTAAAACGTTGGCTTGCACTGAAAAAAAAGTGAATTGAGAGACAGGTTAGTATACAGACTCTAGTAAAAGAGTAACGGTAGATTCAAACTGTAATAAAAGAAATTTAAAATAATTATGAATTTCAGATTTATTTCTGAGTGAAATATGTATCAAATATAGATGGTAATGAAATTATTTTAATTAAATATAATAAATGAATATGATTTAATAAACGATTGAGGTTATATCTCATTCTAATCAATGGTAATTAACTATGGAAAATTTACTATTCATTTCATGTTTAGAGCATACATATGAATATTTATTTATTTTTTGCACTGTTTAATCCACTCTCCTCGAAGCATGTATCCATTTCTTACATCTAACCTCATCAATACGGGGTTTTATAAATGGTATAAAAACACGTTTTCTTCCGGATATCGATTATCCGACGTACAATTCGCCAAACAGCAATGCTTTGCTGGCATAATCCTAGCATAAAATAATTTTTTTATATCAGATTCATATTTTTAAATAATAAATTAATATTACGTAAATAACACTGTTTTACATGTGAATAGTTTGTTTGTCCCTACTACTGGTGCTGCCTCTCATGACACGTTCGCTGTACTATTCCCAAGGAAAATTCTCATTGCGAAGTTAGAACCTATACGGCGGCAATCCAGTATTATTTGCAAAATGTTTTCTTCTAAATAATGGAAATAAAGGAACGCTCAATCGCTTCTATGATTCGATTGAGAGAGTTTGTATTTCAATGAAACTGTAATCTTGTCTAATTTCATTATTCACTTGTCTATATGCCTTTGTGAAAATCGAAAAATACGTCAAGTTCGAGTGATACTCGATTTTTTATCCATAGTTGATGTTTTGCCTTTCTAAAGATTCAAAAGTGGAATGTACTTTTGATAAAAACGTATTGATCCAAATGTCACATGGATTCCTTCCGAACAATCATTTTCATAACCTCTTGAAATTATCAATCAGGAGCAGAGTATTACGGGAGATTTTTCCCAACATTAAATCGTTATTTCAAAACCTCGACACGTGTTTCGATCACCAAGTGAACATTTTCAAGAGGAAGACATTCCTTTTGAAGATGATTACTTGGTTCCAAACAGTACAACACAAATTAGGGACTGCTCGATTCCACAAAAGGAATAATTTTTTCTTTCGAAGACTAGCGAACTGACTCGCCATTGCACAGTTTGCAGGACATATATGCCTAAATTTTCTCCAGTTATGGTTTCACTTTAGTTTATCCATGAAGAAGGTTTCCATTTTCCTATGCAAGAGATACTATCAAGATATAGTGGCTGGAATTTTCACCTTCAAATTTCTAGAAATATCCAGGATGTTCGAAAGTACTCGAGAACATCTCACAATTCTGGAAACACCTCTGTAGAAGATAACAGAGGTACCTAACTCAGTTGAGAACCTGAATTTTGTTCACCTGTGACAACGTAGGTGTGCTAATTTGAAAACCAGTAAGTAAACTAGATCGATTTGATCACATAGCAGGTTACATCTGCATTGCTTATGCTAATGAGTTTCCAAGGATTCCAAGTAATTGCATTTCCAACCCTTGCTTGCATAGTGCAAAATTTCCGTATCGTTTAGATTCGGGAATTTGTGGTTGCATCCCAAGGAATGGTTTGAAAACGTCGAATCATTTTTAACTAGTCAAGGACCTTTCATGCTCAGCATATCATTTTGAGAAATTTCAGCTACATTTTCTCACATAAACACTATTACATTCCGAACACTCTAGATTCATCCATTTTCTCCACTTGATTTTTAGCATCAAAAAGGAAATTAGATAACCTGGCATGTGGTCTGAATGCCATTTTCACAATTGTCTCTGTTCTTCCATCAATATTTGTTAGTTACAAATTTTTTGATTTCTGAATGTTTGATCTGGAGGCATATTAATCTGTACATGAATTCGAGGCTTTGTTTTCCTACTAACTCTTGGATTGTGTCTGCGATGAAACCATTTAATGTCCTGTCTGTATAATTATTTTAAAACTTGCATAACTACAAGATAATACTTCTCATTGACCGTACAACCATGTGTAAAGAACTCCTGATGTAGTAAACCAAAGTAATCGAAGAAAATCATGAGTGAAACCATGAGTAAAACCTTGATATTTGATCGAACTTGACCTGTTTTTTCGGTCTTGACTCTCCTGGGCTATTCCATTGGGACGATTGGACTTTGGTTTCCATGTCATAAACATATATCCATGATTCATCACCAGTTATGACTATTTCGAACAAACTTGCATCGTCGTTGACGTCTTTCAACAAACAATTCCTGAGCGATGCTCATGTAACGGTTTTTTTAAAATTCAGCAACTTTAGAACGAACTTCGCTGTCACACGCCACATGTTCAAAATTTTCGAAAAAATTGCCTAAGCCAACCGGTATGCCAAGATCCTCAGCAACTTTCATTACTTTCTCAACATTTTCTTCGGTTGTTGATATGCTAGGACGTCCAGGGCGAGCGTCATCGTTTACATCTTCTCAACCTTTTGTGGCAAGCTTGTACGAATTGTAAACATTTTTATGACTCGGAGTACAATCACTGTATGTCACTCTCAACATTTTATTTGTTTTTCAGCAATCGATTCCTTCGTTTACACAAAATTTGATGGGCATTCTTTCTTCCAAGCAGAAAATTACTGAACACAAAACACTTCTAACTTTTATGCCTCTCATAAACAGTGTAAACATGCCAAACAGTTGAAACAGTGAACATATGTTCAAGACGGGTGTACCAATATGAAATCGAAAGTACGTAGCCCGCGAAATTTGAACATTCACCTTATTTATTGGACATCTCACTACATTACAAGATGAAAAATCTCGTAAAAGAACTTTCGATGTCATAATGGCAATCGCCTCCATTGTGATATTCTCTCTGAGAAGATTTACTCTTATCGATATCGATATATTGATACCATTGGACATATTTTCGTCAAAAACCGTTGATAAGAAAAATGTTCCTTGATGTGAAATAAGGTGTCAAACGGTTTGGAACTATCGGTAAAAAATTCATTCATTCAACTTCCATTTCTTTCCAGTTCGTATACAGTGTGGTCCACTAACTCTGCAACAAAGGGGAAACTTTTTAATTTTTGTGCATGTTCCAAAACTATACCAAGTGTACCTGAAATGGCTTTATGAGAAATACCATACAGGACAGACCAAAAAATATAAAGTTCGTTCAGGAGTAAAGTACCCTTATTTCAAAAAATACAGAAATATGTTGAAAAGAAAAGTTGCTTGAAATTAGAAGTTATGTTCAGATACGAAGTCATGGCCTGCTATTGAGATTTTTTTTTAAAAAATCTGAATTACATCCGTCTGATACATATTTTTACTATTTTGATTTAATATGTATTTGAAGTAGCCACAATCAAATGAGTTTGAAGTATTTTTCATCAAATTGAAGTGTTTTTGTACAATTTACTTGGATTTGTATTTTTTAGGTGACCGTCAACTTCATGTTTGTTGCAACGATATTTAACAGAACTCTAGAATAAAACAAATACTCTTTTTAACGAGGCAAATGCTTTACTAAATACACTTTAATTTGATAAAAAATACTCCAAACTGATTTGATTGTGGCTACTTCAAATACATATTTAATCAAAATAGTAAAAATATGTATCATACGGGGGTAATTCAAAATTTTCCAAAAGAAAAAAAAATCTGAATAGCAGGCCATGACTTCGTATCTGAGCATAACTTCTAATTTCAAGCAACTTTTCAACATATTTCTATATTTTTTTAAATAAGGGTACTTTACTCCTGAACGAACTTGATAATTTTTTGGCCTATCCTGTTAGGTGTTTGTCATAAAGCCATTTCAGGTACACTTGGTATAGTTTTGGAACATGCACCAACTTTTGTCAAGAATAAAATTTTCTGAGAAATCGATAATAAAAAAGTTTCCCATTTGTCGCACACTTAGTGGACCACACTGTATGTTCATAATTGATTAATTAATCAAATTTTTGTGAGAATCAGTTAGTTGATTCCTGAGAAGTTTTGTTGTTATTATCAAATTTTCATCAGTTTTCATGCCGAAATAATATATAAATAAAACTGATTCAGTTACTTTTTTCTTCAGCATAATTATAATAATGGTAGCTACGAGTTTTCGTGTCAGCACGGCCCCTCAGAATGTAAAGGAAACAAATTACAGTCATGTATTCTGGCCCACAACGACGATCAACTGAAACAAGTACAATTCGTCAACTGTATAATGAGACGAAGGAGTCGATCTTCTTCCTCGACTGTTAAGGGTGTAAGTATTTCTGTAAATTTATACTTTTCTTTGAGAACTCATATTGTTACATATTTTGAAGAAGAGACGAATTTCACGTGTATTGGAGTTGTACTGTTATTATTTTTCTTGTAACTATGTTCTTGCTGCTCGTTAGTATGTTCATTCCTTTCTGCGTTTATGTGGAATAAACTTCCAAATGGATTTGAAATCCAGTAATTCAAATCCAATGTGAATCGCTACTTTCTAACAGGCACCGCTCTTGGAACGCCTTTAGAATTTTCTTGTAGTGCTTGTATTTTGTCTTAAAAAAACTGAAATAATTTTGAAAACCTAATGGAGAAGAAAAAGTTTCATTCGATAAACATTGGTAAAATAACTCACCTCCACTGACAGAATATTATTCCAGAAATTTTTCATGATTGAAATAGTGATGAACATGAAGTAACTCAATTGGTGAATTTTCCCGTGGTTTTCATAATGATACGTTTTTGTGTAGGTAATTCAATGCTCATATTTGTATATCATATGCTCATATATGTATATCATTGTGAAGAGTTTTTATTGACATATTTATTTTTTTCGGCAATGATGATGGTGATGATGATGATGATGATGATGATGGGAGAGAGAAAATCAAAAAGAAAAACGCGGCACGAAACCAAATACTTTTGCTTGAACAAAAGCCACAACCGGTATTCCAAACAGCAATGCTGATATTGCCAACAGCTGGAAAATAAGGAAGCCACCATTCAAACCGAAATAAACTGAGAGGATGTGATGTGTCACAAATTGGTTGTATCATCGATGCTTGTGACCAGAATAACCATCATATTTAATATTTCGTTTGTCAACTAGATACATAATCCAGAACGCATATCATCGTTTCAAAATAAAGAATATGAATTATCAGGAACTGGATAACTTATATACATCGGTAGTAGGTAGGACAGAGTCAGATGCTACAAATGCAATACGGATTTATACAGATGGCTCAAAAACCAAAGAAGGCTCAGGATGTGGAGTGTACTCCAGATCACTAAGCCTAAGGATTAAGTGGGGAATGGGAAGAAATACCAGCGTGGTCCAAACAGAACTGGCTGGTATATCAATCGCCACAAAAGAAATAACCAAGAAAAGAATTTCTGGCAAAAACATAACAATCTGCACTGACAGCAGATAAGCACTATTAGCCTTGAACAGACAGCGTGTTTACACAGGGTTATTACTAGAGTGCCACCAAGATTTAGCCAAAGCCTAGGTAGATAATAACATTATCCTGAGGTGGGTTAAAGGGCACGACAGGAGTTAAGGTAATCGCATTGCCGACTCTTTAGCCAAGGAAGCGGCTGGACTAAGAATTTTAGGACCCAGTGGCACCCACGGCCTGATGACTTTGACAATTGCGAAACTAGTCGAATGTTACCCCCATGCTCAACCTTTAAAGAAATGGGATGAAATCAAAGAATGTATCCTTGCCAGGATCCCCTTGGGCGACCCTGGGAAGCTGGCGCCGAAGAAATATCTGGCGATGACCAGGAAAAATCTACGCCTTACAGTAGGATTTCTGACTGGCCACTGTCAGCTAAGGAAACACCTACATAATATGGGGCTAGTGGACACACCTCTATGCAGGATGTGTGAACAGGAAGATGAGACTATCAGGCATGTCCTGTGCGAGTGCCCGGAGTTATCGTCAATAAGAGAGTGTGTGTTCGGCGAGTCTTGGCCTACACCTGCCGATATAAAGGAGATGTCTCACAGCGACCTGTCCACCTTCCTGGAAAGGACAAGATGGACGATGACCTAGAAGGACAACTTCTCGAGAGGATATACAATGGGTCACATGTGGCCTGAGTGCGTGGGCTTACACTCACCCTCCCTACTCTACAGATACAGATACATCGGTAGTGATGTATATCCCAGAAAGTACAGGTTTAGTTCATATACCACGACCAGTAACAAATAACTAGATAAAGTCGAGTGAGTCATCAAAATAATTGTATTTGTTGAGTCTACAGCGTATCAAAAAATTGTTTTTACAAATATTTCAACCTAAATTCATGTGGCATTCAATAAGAGCCCTCAAAAAGCCTGAATGCGTGTTGGCACATATGTAAACTTGTTAGTTTAGTATGTTTCTCCGAAGGTAATATTACAACTGAAAAAAAAACTTGTAGAAACATCATAAAGTGTTTTAGCAAATCATACACTGAAATATGTCCATCAATAAAGATACTCGTAATCTTTCACATATCTAACTCCTATAATTTATAATCTGGTGAATTTCTAGTTTCAATACAATATGTTTGTTACATTTTGCCAACCCATTTGAAGTTTTTTTTTTTCAATTCAAATATTAGTTTCAGATCATATTTATTCATGATGATTTCATTGTTTACAGTGTGCTAGACAATACCACCTAGACGTCGAAAACTTTGACTCCTGTTCAAAAGGATCCGAAGGCGACAGACTCTTAGCAGGAATGGGAGATAAAACGTTGGCTCTTGATCCATCTATTTCTTTCGTTCCAACAATCATTTTCGATGGGAAATATAACGAAGATGTACAGAATGATTCCTTGGTGGACTTCGTTGCTGTTGTTTGTAGTAAAATAGGTGGAACAAAACCCTCCATCTGTGAAAATAGACATTTACCGAGAAGATTGTGGAATTAATAAAAAACAGAGTTTAATGTACTAAAGGTTTGTTTCTATTCGACTGTATCCTGTACCTTGAAGAATGTAGAAGAGCCTAATATTTTGTGAAAAATCAATATTCAGCGATTTTCAGTATCAGAGAGAAATTTGTCGAAATGAAACAGAATTCTTTTGAAACTGCCCCCGTACTGCCGCAGCCTTTATGTCCCTACATTTTGAATCTGTTAAATCTTTGAAAATATTGATTTACATTATATGTTGTGAAGGGACATATTCATCTATATTAAATAGACAATGTATTAAAAGTACCTATGTATTCAAAGCCATTATTTCTCGAGGATAAAAGTGTTATTATAGATTATCCCTAAGAGATAGACATATACCATCGTGGACTTTTTTGTAGACCTTTTCAAGGTGACAATTGATACTTGAACCATAAAAAAAGAAATTCACTGAAACACGAAAAATATATATGTTCTGAGAAAAAAGTTTTGAGCTATATTTTCATGATGCCTTAAAATAGAATGAGAATTACGGTTTTCATTTGAAAAAACAGTATCGTAATTCAATGATTATTCATCCTCAGCAATACAAATCAACGAGTGTTTCATTTTCCAAACAAGTCAGGTGAATTGAATGAGTCGATTCGAATATCGTAGATGGATAATTGTTAAGAAACAAAATTCTGAATTTTTTTTTTTGGCTTGATTACCAACTTCAATATACTGGAATATTGTTTTTCTCACGATAATACCTCGTTTGATTGATGGCCTATTCATTTTATAGAAATTCATATCAAATATAGGATGAAGAGAATAACTTTTGTCTGATTTCTACCAAGTTTTTTTTTCGATACGACCGGTTGCGTTTTGTTAAACCATTCTCAGTGCACTTCATTCAGTTGTAAATGAACATGAATATGTTCAAATGAAGCTACCTTGGTTGGAATTTTGGCTAAACAAATTTACATCTCAAAAAATTAAAGCAGTGTGTCCCTTCTGCAAAGATATTTGGTGGAACAGTTGCACTAACGGTGTATTTAAAATCAAACATGAATCATATTAGTTGTTGAAAATTTCAATTCGGCGCTGCGGTCGAACGGATCATTACCGTATTATCACCAACAGTGTAGATATATGAGATCATTTGAAGGATATATAGAAAAAAACAAATGTTCTTGCTTGTCTCTTTACTATCTATAAGTGTTTTGTTGTATAAATTGTGATTAGGTGATACATGAATCAAATTGATTGTTGATGATTTCAGTTTGGAACTGTGATGTGACGGAATATGCTAGTACTATCTATAGACAAACTTGTTGCCAGATGTGAATCTTCGCTCAACGCCATTGGTGAATTGAAAATACCAACAATAATTTTTAATTCATGTAACTGTAATGACTAATAGTTCTATTCGTTGTTTAGCAAAAATCTAACACATAGAAAATCAACGACATTTTTTTGTGTACAACTCAATATTCTATACTGTTTTTTTGGGTATCTGTATCTGAAGGGTAGTGAGGGTGAGTGTACGCCCACAGCACTTAGGCCACACGTGACCCATTGTATATCCTCCCGAGGAGTTGTCCTTCTAGGCCATCGTACATCCTGTCCTTTCCAGGAAGGTGGACAGGTCACTAGGAGACATATCCTTTATATCGGCAGGTGTAGGCCAAGACTCGCCGAACACACACTCTCTAATTGAGGATAACTCCGGACACTCGCATAAAACATGCCTGACAATTTCATCTTTCTGTTCATACATCCTGCATAGATGTGTGTCCACTAACCCCATAATATGGAGGTGTTTCCTTAGTTGACAGTGGCCAGTCAGAAATTCTACTATTGAGTATAAGTTTTTCCTGGTCATCGCCAGATATGTCTTTGGCGCTTCCCAGGGTCTTCCAGGGTGATTCTGGCAAGACTGCATCCTTTGATTACATCTCAACTTTTTAGGAATTGACCATGGCTGTGACGTTTGGCTGGTTCCGCAATAGTCGAAATCATCAGGCCGTAGGTGTCACTAGGTCCTGAAATTCTTAGTTCAGCCGCTTTCTCGGCTAAAGAGCCGGCAATACGACTACCATTACTCCTGTCGTACCCTTCAACCCACCTCAGGATAATGTTATTAACTACCGAGGTTTGTTTGAAGGTGATTGACAATGTTTCATGATGAATTTCACTAGTTCGGACTTCCATTGTCTACTATACACTGTGTCCGTAAAGTATGGAACAAATTCATTTTTAGCTAAACAGGTCATTTTAAGGAATAATCCTGAAACACGTCGATTTTTGATGTTAATTTACCGTATTTTAAAATAATAATCTAATATACAGGGTGAATTACGTTCGAGTAATGACGT